GTAGCGAGAGGGGTTGCTCTCACATCCAGTGAATCTTACAAACGTTTGGACAGTATATATATTTTTTCTCTTTATTCATGGGCAGGACTTGCGGTGGTACCATGGAGGGTTCAGGGTCCCTGGTGTAAATAAATAAATAACTGCTTGTGCGAGCATCCGTGCCAAGGGGCTACATTAGGAGTTTTAGCCACCATAAATCAGTAGGCTAAATAACTTTAATCTAAAATTTCATTAAGTAGTCCTTGTCAGGTAGTAAAAGGAGGGGATAATACAGTGATGTTTAATGATAATTGGTGTTTGGTTAATAAATTCTGCGAGTTCCGATTACTTTCTAGCAGTCGGTGGAATGCTAGCCTCAGCAGTGTAACTAAACCTCAAATTGATTAACTCGCCTGGACCAGACTGTTCACAAAGATGGCACTGGTCCAAATCAAAAAAGAGAGAGTGCAGTGTGCGCATCAGCCGGATGGTGTTGTGTTGCTCCAGCGTAAGGAAATCAGCTCCCCCCGGGCGCATTTTTAAAAGCCTAATGCCTTTCAAATGATGTCATCACATTTTACCTTCTCTCTCTCTCTCTCTCTCTCTCTCTGCTGTTTACTATCTAAATCCAAATGTTTCTCTCACATTTTCCTCGGGTGCTACAGAGGAAGGAAGGTCAATGACTGACTGTGGCACGTGACACATTATTCTAATGGATAGGGGAGACATCTTGTGTTTTTATGATTGCTTCTTTTCTCTTTTTTTCCCTCTGGGGGGGAGGTTGTCATAGTGGGCCTTTGTTGTTGTTTCTTTTTTATTAGTGGGAACAGGGTGTGGTCCATCTGGAGAGATTTGAGAGGTTGTACACACACACACATTAAATGTCACTAAGACAAACATATTTTCCTTTACTTCCCTTTTATAGACACACACACAACAACTTACCAGCTTCCATAATCATGTGTGTATGTCAAAGAGACCGAGCAGACAGCAGGATGAGTGACACACCTCCTCTCAGATGGCTTTTCCCAGTGGCCTCCTCTCCGCTTCCAGTCTATTGTTCTGGCATGTTCTATAACGCTTGTCCAGTAAATCCCCCTAAACACCTCACTTTACATGTATGTCCCATTAACCGCCGCGTTTTGGTGCGACAAACTCAATGGACAGTGAGATATGGATATTGATATGTCCTGTCAAGCGCGTGGAGATGCTCTTTGTTATTGGTTACGGCAGCAAAAATCTCATAAGCGAATCCAGTGGTCGATGAAATATTTATGGAGATGGAGATGATTGATACCAGCGTAGTTTCAATAAGCAAGTTAATCATAAATTACAGATGTAACTTCATTATCCCCATGTCTAATTAGTCAGACTGTAAACATCTATAAAAGAACACTGTAGCATTTCATAATGTTTTGCAGTATTGTCTAGGCCCTGGACTAAAGAGTTATTGTTTTCAGGCTTAACAGGATAATATATGAAGACCGTGGCTCGCTCGTGACAATCGTTTTAATGCTGGGTCTCTTACAGATTTTTCTTTTGCATAAAAAAGGACTGAGAAATGGAAAAATCAATATGCAGAAAATAGTTATAGGTGGCGGGTTATCGAGAATCTCTCTATCCCAGACACCCTGGGCCGAGAGATGATGCGTAATATATGGGGTGACCTTCAAATGTCATAAATGTGTTGTGCAATAAACTGTCAATATTTGTGGTTATTTGGTGCAGGATGACTTTTACAGTAATTGGAACAGCCGTATTAAAAGCTGGGGAGCAGTCAGCTGATTAAAGACGGCCCTGCTGGCCTGTGTGTGTGTGTGTGTGTGTGTGTGTGTGTGCGGAGAGAGAGCGAAAGAGAGGGAGAGAGAGATGAAGGAAAAGTATTACCTGTAAAGGCTTTGTATGCTCATGTGTCTGATGTTCTAGGTAAGAATGAGAGTGACATGACTGATGGTTTACGTTAAAATCTGTATCTAAAGGAACGTTTAATATTGTTTGAGTAATGATTGGCACTCAGATGCCACATTTACACTTACATATACAATATAGTGGTATATGGTGTTTATATGTGTGTGTGTGTGTGTGTGTGTGTGTGGTTGTGGGACAATAAAGTCCTCTCTTTTCACTAAAAGCCTGTAAAATTTGCCAATAGGAGTAATATTTGTAAGTGTCTGGGTACCAGGCTAAAGTGGGTCAGAGTCAGTGTTTGTGTTTGTTTCGTTGTGAGTATATGTTTGGGTCAGAAAATGGGGGCACACATCACAATGTAACACGTGTAGGCAAAACGGAGGCAGTAAATTGCAGGAATGTGATCAGCCACAAGAGAGAAGGAGATGCTGACTTTACTCTTTCTTTTTTAACTTCTCAAATCTCATTTGATTCTTAAAAGAGGGTGGAGAAATGAGGAGAAAAAAGCGCAGAAAAAAAGAAAGATTACTCGTACAAAAGCTTTTGATTGAGGCAAATGGTTGCTAAAGTGGGTTGTGCCATTCAGATGATGTCTCTCCCTACACACACTCCGTATCATGTGTAGGCGCAGAAATAAGAAAGCATTTACAAACCCTTTTTTGCACTGTGGCTGGTCACACGCTCACAGACCTTCTTGAGCTGAAGTTAAGGCACAAAGACAAATGCTGTTAACAGGGTAAATGTTGAAATTATTTTTCTTAATTATAAAACATGTTTTGGATTATTATCAAAATCATTTCCTTACTAACTTTTAGAAAGGAATTTATGAAGAGTTAAATTGCCCATTTGAACACCACAGCTTATGCACAGCTTTAAAGCATGTGCAACGGTTTTAACAGAATATGTGTTTTATGTCAATTTGTTAGCTTATTCTGAGTAGGTATTTTATTGACTAAAATACAATAGTGAAACAAAAAAATCTTTCTCAAAGGACCTCCTGACCTGTATCTTCTTGGTATCTTTGACCTTGG